AATGCGGTCACGCAGTTACTCATCTCTTCTGTTGTTGCTATTGCTTGCATGTTTCCTTGGTGTAGCGGACAGAAGTGCCCATGTGGCGGTGCCGTGCGCCTGTTGTTGTGGCCCGCTGCACACGCGGGGTGCTGAATCGGGGTGTCCCGCAAACCCGCCAACGCAACGGCTACGTAAACACGCGTAGCAGTGGAGCAGCAGAACAAAAAAAGACGGCGCCACGGTCACCGCGTCGATTTTCCTTGCGCACGTCTCGGCCCGTCGTGTGGCTTATCGCCAACGCGATGCCGCTCGCAACGTATCAACTCTTCCTAGAGGCTGGATGCACCGGCGTGTGCGCGTGGCTGCTGCTGCGCGGCAAGGCGACTGCCGCGGATATCGAGGCGTGGCTGCGGCGCTATCGCTACCCGTTCATCGGACTCGTCGACTGGGAGAGTGGCCGCCACGCGGACGGCTGCAACATCGCCGGTTGCCGCATCGACGCAGCGACGCTGACGGCGCTACACACCGGCCACAACATCGCCAACGGCCTACTGCCGTTGCAGGTGGTGGTGCTGGCGCTAACCTACCCCGCTGTCGCACGTGTGTGGGCCGTCATGCGTGGGCCACTGACGGCGCAGCTGCTGCACGTCAAGCACTGCTGCACGCCGGCGGTATTCCGCAGTCGCACCACCACACATGGCAGCGTTGCGGCACCTGCGCCGGTCCACCCGTTCGGGAAGCCGCGGCCCCGCCANGCAGTCGCACCACCACACATGGCAGCGTTGCGGCACCTGCGCCGGTCCACCCGTTCGGGAAGCCGCGGCCCCGCCACAGGTAGCACCAGTTACTGCTGTTGCCCGGCATGCAGCAACGCAAGACGCGCAGAGATGCCTCTCTTCCAGCCTTAGTATTCATAAACATATGCGAATATGTATGTATGCATATCTATGTCCCTCGTACACGCAGCAGCTTGTCTTTCACCCTCTTTTGTGTCCCTTTTTTGGAAGTTTCACACGTGGTAGGAAGACGGGTAAGTCCAGAAAAAAAAACGCGGTGTGTGTCGCGTCGTCAACACAACACAGCGGACGACAAAACAAAAACAAAATACGTGGGTAGGTGAAGGATACACACAGCTAGGAGGGAGTTCCTCATGCGACGGCTCTTGACGTCTGGGCTAGTGCTGCTGCTGCTGCTTGCAGTGTGCGGTGTAGACGCGTGGAACTTTGGTGAGTCGCTCCCTGTCACTGTGCACATGCGCCTGCAGCGCGAGACGCCACACGCCGCCGTGGCACGCGACGACGCGGACGATGCGG